TCCCAAAAAATTATACGTGTTTTGGAAATGTTGAGTGGAATTAGTCTAGAATCGGTTAATTTTATAGAAGAAAACCTTTCGAACAGCCTTAGTCCGTAAAGTTCCCACCTATCGGGCTGCGATTGGCTCACTCCTACAACGTAATTTTCGGTTAGCGTGGAACGTATCTAAGCGTTATAGGGGGGTCTACTGTATCTTTATATTTGGGGGTCGCGAAAAAATCACAATCATAAATGGAGTTGTGAATAAAAAAAGTTTAAGAGGCCCTGGGTTGAGTTATAAATCTACTCGGGATTTACGTAATCGGGCAAGGGCGGCCAAATACCTAGCGGGCAGGCGGCTAATAGCCCAGAACCGGTCCTGGATAGAATTGGATGTGGTATACGTATAGCATCCACCCAAGGTTCTAGGCTTCCACCAGCTAAATCGGGTGAGTTTGATGCTCTGTAAAGCACATGCACGAATCTGGCTTTTTGGATGCTGACAATACAGTGCTTCCACTCCACCACTAATATTTGAATATACAATAGCAATCTTATCTTTTTTTTTCATGTGTAGTATAGAAATTTGTAATAAGATACATAATGCGGTTATAATAAAATATTGTGCAATTATTTTCATATAATTAAAATTAATATGTATTTATTTTTTAGAAAATACAAGGGAAGTGGCGCATCCACCGCTTCCAATGACAGCACGCCACTGATGTTGAAGAAACACACAATGATGGCTGTGCTATATCACATGATATGTTGCAATCATGCATCACAATATTGCTCAGACACAAAATATTTCTTTTCTCGAGTTTAAGGTTAATTGAGGATGGGTCTGCAAATTTATAATGAAGAAAAATCTTTCTCAACATAGAAGAACTATATTGTGCCAAAGGTTGAATAAATAGTGAATAAATACTGATATAGTTCTTCTTCAAAAATAATTCACATATTTTTCAAATCTCAATTTTCGATTAGTAAAAAAATGGCAAAAATGTGCGAAAAATACATGTGGAAATACAATATGTATATATAATGGCATGTACTGGTAGACATGTATGATATACACTATATATGAAAAAGAAAGAAGACGAGATGAAAACAAAAACATTAGTATTTCAACAGATAAAGAAGATCTCAGTTTTATTAAGAAAATGAATGAAATAAGAATGATTTTAATATATCTGTTTACATAAACTGGATGAATATAAAGGAAGATCTAATGTAAAGATCTTATATGTACTGGTAGAATATTAATCAAAAATAATAAATAATAAAGGCAAAAGAGCTAGAGAGCTAGTAATTTATATTTATATTTTTGTTTTGAACAGAATATTGGAATAGGAAGTATTTAAGAATATCTAATACAAGTTATAGAATTTTAAAAGTGATTATTATTATATTTACTTAACTTTTTATTAAATATTTATTATTTATATCTACTTAATTTCATTATTAAAATGATCAGCCAAAACATTTTAATTGAAACTTTTCCACCTTTCAAACAACAAATAAAACAGTTTCTGTAAAAAAGAAATTATTTCTGAATTTTTTAGCATGTCCTATGAACACATATGGTATAAACTGTCAACAAACTTGTGAATGTCTCAATGGTGGTGTCTGCAACAGAATTAATGGTAACTGTACTTGTGGTGGTTATTGGCGTGGACAGAAATGTACAGACAGTAAGTGAAAAATTTATTTAATTTATGATAATCAATGTTTACATATTTTTTTTAATTATTAAACTAAAAATAATTTTAGGAATTCCACAGATTATTGCTACTTCTGATAAGGAAATAAATGCTGGGCAATATACATCAATATCTTGTACTGCTGATGCTATTCCTTCACCTTCTTTTGAGATAATTTCAAGGTTTTTATTTTTATATATCATAATTATTTTTCATATATTCAGTAACATCTTTCTTATTAAACTGTTTCTTTGCNAATGTTTACATATTTTTTTTAATTATTAAACTAAAAATAATTTTAGGAATTCCACAGATTATTGCTACTTCTGACCAGGAAATAAATGTTGGACAATATACATTTATATCTTGCACTGCTGATGCCATTCCTTCACCTTCTCTGGAGATAACTTCGAGGTTTTTATTTTTATATAACTATAGTTTGACTTATTGAATAATAATATCTTTCTTATTAAATTGTTTTTTTTTTTTTACAACTAGTGATTTGAATAGATTAAATACCTCAATAACAAAATTTGGAAAAAATCAATATCAAGCAATTGCCAATGTTACTGCCAACTCTTCAGGAAATTATACTTTTCATTGCTCAACTAATAATACTTATGGTTGGGATATAAAATCTTTTTTTCTGCTAGTGATCGGTAAATTATATGAACTTTATGTATATCATTTCAGTAAAGATACAGTAATTTTAAAAATTAATATGAAGTAAAATCGTTTTTAATAGATCCACCTGTACTAAATGAAAGGCCCGAAATAATAAATGTTACTTCAACCAGTATAGAAATATCATGGAAATCATGGGAATACGGAATTGATAAAGGTGGAAAAGAAATGGATAGAGTTGATTATTTAGTAAATAGCTCTCATAATAATTAATAATTCATTATTTAAATATCTTGTTTATTTATAATTTATATATTAAACTGTAGGTAGTTTATCGTATTTGGGAAACAACGGTATGGAATACAACTAACAATTGGATATCTACAACAAGTACTGTAATACATGAACTTTTACCTGATACTGAATATCAAATTGCCATTAAATGTAGAAGATCTGGTAAAGGTGGAATAGGTTCACCAAGTCCAATTATGTCAGCTAGGACATTATGTGGAAGTAAGAATAAACAGTTTAATAAAAACATACAGATATATAATAAAGAATGATTTTCTTGAAACTAAAGTAAATTTACGGAATATAAATTATATTATATTTGAGCATTTCCTGCATGGTTTACAGCTTGACTGCTAATAATAAATTAAATATTAATGAATGGAAAAATATATTTGAAGCAAATTCTTATTGTGCAATGATGACTATTCTAATATACATTATCTAACAATGTGTTTCTAAGTTGCTTTCTCTTTGTTAAGGGTTTTGCATGTTGAACTATTTTCCTCTATGTATGAATTATTTTTCTCTATGTATGTATGTGCATGCACATGTGTGTATCTAATGTAGGCTTCCATCCCAAATCCTGTCTATTGCTTTTTGTTGTCAAACTATCCTTATTTTGTGCAACCTTCTCTTCTCTTTCCTTTCACTCTTTGTTTGATAGGTTTTTTTAATAATATCTTTCAGGGAAGCACTGAATGCAGTCCTGCAGAACTTATCTTTCTTCTCATTACCTTTATAAAAGTTTTCTCTTTCCAATTATTCTTTCTAGCATTTTGTGATTTGTTAATTTACGTATAGAATTTATTTTCTCCATCTGTCTAAAGCATCATTTCAAATGCTTCAATTTTTATTTTTCTCTTGTTTGGAATCCATGATTCAAAGTCATCACACTTTAAATCAACTTTTTTAACACACTACTGTTTGTTAAAAGAGTTATTAACTAAATAAATAAATTAAATTTTCATTCTATGAAGGATACAATAAGTCATTTATATTAATATTATAAAGAGATAAAGTTTGTCAGTTTGGATGTAGGTAATCTCTGAAACTACTCATCTGATTTCAAAAATTCTTTCACCAATATTTAGAATGGACCTTCAGGGTGGACATAGGCTGTATATTATTCCGTTAAACATTCATATAAATTAAAAGATGTTATCTAGGTAAGCATTATATTTTTGGTGTCAGCGGGTGGCGAGGGGCAAGACACATACGTATATGAGATAGGTAACCACGGCGCAGTCGCGTGGTTGGTGAGATATGTAGTGCACATATCCGAACTTGTATTATATAGATGTTGAAATTTCCCTCCCCATGGGGGCGAGAGACAAAATTAAGGCTTACCATGAAGAACTGGTCTTCCATTATTCTATTTTAGATTCGGTTTTTTGTATTTTTGATTGTGTTTTAATAGGGTACGTCAAGAGAATGTACACTAAGAAGAGATTTTTTGAATTTACCCTCCACGGGGAGTGTTATACATTTAAAATAGATACATTATGAGCCACAGCAACGTGTAGCCAGGTACAGCTAGTTTATAATATTTCATTAATACCATTTCAGATCCATCATCTCTTGCTATTCCTCTTGATTTTAATCCTCAACATTTTACACCACATACAATTACTCTTTCTTGGAAGGTATGTTCATTTGTTTTTATAGTTTTTATATCAATTTTTTCAATTAAAATAATTTTTTCATTTAATGTAGCCACCAATATACTCTGAATTACAATGTTCTTTGATTGGATATATATTGTGTTATTATGAAGGCATAGGGGTGCATAATCTACATTGTGTGAATATTTCTAAATCTGAAGAGTCTTATACCCTGGAAGGATTACAACCATTCACAGAATATGTTCTCCTACTTTTTGCAGTTACACCTAAAGGAAAAGGACAACAGTTTGCTGTATTGAAATTTTCTACACCAGAAGCAGGTGAAAAGTCTTTAATATTGATCTATTCATACTAATACTAACTATTGATTTTAATGGCTTATTCTCATAATCATAAAATAAATACTTAATACTGTTTAGAAGTCAGGGTGAGATTTAATGAATGTTATGTTCCATTTTCACATTCTCACAAATACAGAATTTAAAATTGACCAATCGGAATATTTACTGCTAACTGTAAATTGAATTCTTGAATTCTGTATGTCATAAAGAAGACTTTTTGAAATTTTAAATCATTTAGCTTCCAAAATTATAAAATATTTATTTACTAATTCAATATTATAAATTCTTTTGAAATTTTATAATATAAATTTCAAAAGGAATTTTTATGATACATGCTGTTCAATTTGTAAGTGGTAATTAACTTGTATATCAGTTCAGATTTTATATTTGTATGGATCTGAAGCTGAAGTATAGTATTTCAAAAATATTTATCTAGATTAAATCTCATCTTGGTTTCTAAACAGTGTTGTGTTTTCTTTCATGATTACTTTAATATTGAATTACATTATTTTAAATGATGATAACATTCAAAAACATCCTAATAAGATAATTTTCATTTACAATTTTAAAAATATTAGTTCCAGGACCAGTTGAAAATCTGAAATACAGTCAAATATTAAAGAATCCTGAACTGATAGTAATTGAATGGAAGACAAGTTCTGTAATGAATGGAATACTTAAGGATTATTTAATCAAATATGAATTGATGAAACAGGGTCTCTGTGAAAATATATNAATATAGCCCTATCGTTGAAAAAATTCCCTTATTTTTGCTCACCTCGAATTTTGCTTAGTAGAAATGGCTGAAAATTGCGCAAAATACGTACGGAAATACGTTATTACAGGACCACCTGTATTGGACGACCACCTGTCTAAAAGACCACTTTTTGAAGGAACCGTGGGTGGTCGCTATAGACAGGTTTTACTGTATAAATAACCACCTTATGTTACATTTAATAATAGTAAGAACAAAAAGCAAAAAACGATACATATGAAAGATTATTAAAGAATTGAAGCTGTTAGTTACTATACTTGACATCTCTTTTATGCCAATTGCAATAAATTTCTGTAGTATAGTGTCAAATAATTTTTTTTTTTTTTTAATTCTTTATTCATAGTAAGAAATCCTTGTTACAGGCAGAATTGAGTAAAATACAAAAAGAAAATTATTAAGTAAATACAATTAATTCAATTATCTATATAAGATATACAATTGATTAATTGAACATATAGTTATTTCTTATAATGGGCATTCAAATCATTAATAATATGGTTAAAAAAATTAACAATTTTATACATATTTATTTTTGATACATTGCCCAACTTGGATCTATAGTTAAATTCATTATTTGAAAAAAAAAAAAAAATTTCGAGTTTGGAATTGTAGTTGATAGTTTTTCAACACAGTACAGTCTCTGAGCAGATGAAGTGCAGAGAAATTGTTGGAATTACACCAATAACAAGATTTAGCAAAATTAATATAAGTATTATTTACAATTAAAGAGAATTGATTAAGTCTCAATTGAAGTAAAATACGTTTAATATTTAAAGTAGTATTCATTGTAATAATGTTCGATTGAGTGGAAATATTTAGTATATGCAAATACCAAGGACGATATGTTGAGTTAAGTATAGCGTTTTGATCACTAATCATTGAATGCAAAATTGCTGAATCCATCATCATAGTGTAAGCATTTTTCCAATTGTCAATCGAGTTGTCAAATAAGGCACTAGATATGCTGAATGACTGTAAAACTTTATTAAACTTGTAGCACCATGCTGTTTTGTTTACATTATCGTTTTTCATTTGAGAATTCTTAATCTATATATATAAAAATGAATGTGTGTGTGTGTGTGTCCTTCATGCATTACCACACCGTTTATCCGATTGCCGTGAAACTTTGGGAAGTTGTTTAATATACTCCGGCGAAGGTTTGTGGCATAGTA